AATGAGGAATCTCACATGCCTACTCCTCCAAAAGATACCTTGGTAGCTATAAACGACCCATGGAGCGAGCTCAAAGCTCCAAAAGTCGAGCTTAAAACTCTTCCTGATGGACTCAAGTATGCTTTTCTTGGGCCAAACTCAACTTACCCTGTCATCATAAATTCTGGCTTAAGTAGAGCTGAAACTACTAAGCTGTTAAACGAGTTAAGGAAGTATAGGAAAGCCATAGGTTATTCTCTTGATGACATACAAGGAATCTCCCCAGACCTCTGTATGCATAAGATAAATCTTGAGGACAATGCCAAGAATTCGATTGAAAGCCAAAGGAGGTTGAATCCAAACCTTATGGAAGTGGTAAAGAAGGAGATCCTGAAACTTTTGGAAGCAAGAATCATATTCCCTATTTCGGACAGCACTTGGGTTTGTCCTGTGCATGTTGTCTCGAAGAAGGGAGGAGTGACTGTTATCAAAAACGACAAGGATAAAATGATTGCTACAAGACAGTGACGGGACATCGAATGTGCATCGATTACCAAAAACTGAATGCAGCAACTCGGAAATATCATTTTCCTTTACCCTTCATTGACCAAATGCTAGAAAGATTAGCAAATCACGAATATTACTGCTTACTAGATGGTTATTCCGGATTTTTCCAAATTCCAATTAGACCGGAAGATCAAGAAAATACGACATTCACCTGTCCATACAGAACTTTTGCCTATCGGCGAATGCCTTTCGGATTATGTAATGCACTTGCAACCTTTCAGCGGTGCATGATGTCTACTTTCACTGATTTCATCGAAGATTTTATGGAAGTCTTCATGGATGATTTTTCCGTCTATGGGTCCTCTTTCGACAGATGCTTGGCAAACTTAGGGAAAGTTTTGCAGCGCTGTGAAGACAAGCATCTTGTCCTTAACTGGGAAAAATGTCACTTCATGGTCCGCGAGGGAATTGTGCTTGGACATAAAATATCTGGAAAATGTATTGAAGTTGACAAAGCAAAGATTGAAGTCATGACTAGCCTACAACCTCCAACTAATGTGAAGGGAATCCGAAGTTTCCTTGGGCATACCGGATTCTATAGGCGATTCATAAAAGGCTTCTCAGAAATTGCCAAACCTCTCACACGTCTACTCTGCAAGGAAACAAACTTCAAATCCGATGATGAAGGCTTGGCAGCATTTCATAAGATCAAAAACGCCCTTGTTTCCGCTCCAGTTGTGCAACCACCTGACTGGGAACAACCATTTGAGATCATGTGTGATGCAAGTGATTTTGCTGTTGGAGATGTGCTTGGTCAGCGGAAAGAAAAGAAACTACATGCAATCTACTATGCGAGTAGAATTCTGGATGAAGCTCAATGCAATTACGCAACTACGGAGAAGGAGCTTTTAGCCGTCGTTTTTGCATTTGAGAAGTTTCGATCCTATCTCGTAGGATCTAAGGTTATCGTCCATACTGACCATGCTGCAATCAAGTATCTCATGTCTAAGAAATATGCCAAACCGAGGCTGATCAGATGGATACTTCTACTGCAAGAATTTGATATTGAAATTCGAGATCGGAAAGGAGCAGATAATGGAGTAGCAGATCACCTTTCTAGGATTCGAGTGGAAGAGAAACTCCCTTTGAATGATAGTTTGCCAGAAGAAAATGTCTACGCTATAGAGACTATACCTATTACCGTGCAAGAAAAGCCATCACAACCTCCTATACGGCGGTCAGATGCTTTTGACACCCCATGGTTTAGGCATATAGCAAATTACCTAGCTGCAGACATCGAACCTCCACAATTCTTTGGCTATAAAAAGAAGAAATTCTTAAAGGAAATTCAGCATTATTTATGGGATGAACCTTTTCTCTATAGGAGATGTGTAGATGGTTTATTCCGAAGGTATGTGGGTGAAGAAGAAATGGAAGGAATATTGTTTGGATGCCACAGTTCAGCCGATGCAGGACATTTCGCAACCTATAAAACGGTTTCCAGGTTCTTCAAACTGCCTACTATGTTCAAAGACACTCACGCCTACATCTCACGCTGTGATTCATGCCAACAAATGGGTAACATCAGCAAGAGGAATGAGATGCCTCAAAACTTCATTCTTGAAGTCGAAATCTTTGATGTATGGGGAATTGATTTCAGGGACCTTTCCCAACTTCTTTCGGAAACCAATACATCTTAGTAGCGGTAGACTATGTCTCTAAATGGGTAGAAGCAATCGCCAGCCCTACTAATGATGCAAAAGTGGTTATAAAGCTGTTTAAATCAATTATTTTCCCTCGCTTTAGAATTCCTCGAATTGTGATAAGCGATGGAGAATCCCATTTCATCAATAGAGTCTTCGAAAATCTGCTCAAAAAGAATGGAGTCACGCATAAAGTTGCATCTCCATATCACCCTCAGACAAGTGGACAAGTGGAAATCTCTAACAGAGATATCAAATCGATTATACAAAAGACAACCGGTGTAAATCGCAAAGATTGGTCTAAAAAACTGTTGGGGTCGGTTTCACCCCAATCGGTTTAAACCATCTCAAGAATGTTGGAGAGCCGATCCGACAAGAAGAACCGGTGACCTGTCAAAAATAAGCCGAACCGCACAGAAGAAGGCCAAGCTCAAGTAGGCCGAGCCATGAGGTGAAAATGGGTGAGCCGCGTATGAGAGCAGACGGGCCGAGCTGTGTCGTGAGGTATGGGCCGAGCCGCACTTCAACATGATTGGGCCGACCCGTGCATCGGCGAGTTAGGCCAAGTCGCATCTCAACTCGAATGGCAAGTGGGCTGAGCCGTGGAGAAGGTTAGATGGACCAAGCTGTGAGAAGAACGGTGAGCGGGCCTAGCAGCGCGAGAGGAGGCATGGGCCGAATCGCTTCGCTGTGTGTTGGGCCGAGCCGGTTTTCCAAGATGGGCCGAACCAAGGCTTTAGAAGACGAACGCCCACAGAAGCCCTAGGCGAAGTATTATGACGGTGGCCGGATGAAGCGATAAGGAAATAGACCTAAAATCCCTCCCGAGATTCTCGGGAGAGACGTTTAAGGAGTTAGTATAAATAGGAGATTTCTACGATTCATTATGTAACTTTGGCAACCCTAAGCAATAAGACCTAAACATTTTCACAGAAATAAAAATCCTCTTTTGATCTTACTGTTCTTGCAATTACCCTAGAAGTTTCGGATCCCTTAGTTTTCTCTTACAAATTTTTGGTTGTGCGAGTTTTGGCTCACACAATTTGGCGCTGTCTGTGGGGAACATCGAAACTTTCTTACTCTAAATCGAAAAGACTTTAAGATCCAAAGAACATGACGAGCAATACCCCCGACGATAACAACAACAACAGCAACAATGGTAACGGCGCGGAGAAGGACGCTCCGGCATCAGGCACAACGACGGCAGCGACCGAAACCCAAGAGGAGATGCAAAACATGATGGCCGCGTTGATGAGGAAAATCGACGAGCAGGACAAAAGAAACGAGGCGATTACGGAGAGGCTCGACGCGATGGCGGCTGAGCGACAACACCCAACCTGGAGAGCCGGAATTCCCGACCCGATGGATGGAATCCAGAGACGCTTCGACTTTTCAACGCCTGTAGAGGCCTCAGGGAGCGGCGCAAGAAACCCCTTGGTTCCCCCAATGTTTCGTCCCCTCGGCAAACAGACTCCCGCGGTAACCCGAGTCAACATGACCGAGCCGCCTCCACTCCGTCGGAACTCAAGGCGACGAGCCGGCGAGGAGGAGAATGATGCGATTGACGTGGACGCCCAGCAGAACGATGGAACCACGAATCCGCAACAAAATGGCTCGGCACGGCGGATAAGCCAAGAAGAGCTCGCCTCGGCACTAAACGGCGTCCGGACTGACGAAGTCTCCGATCCGACTCGCGGCGACAACCCGACTGAAGAAGAAGAAAACCTCCAATGGATCGAACAGGCGGAGCGCGAAGACGAGCCGAGGAGAGAAGAGCGGGAGCGACTCCCCCAATCAAAAGGAATGACTCACGCGCAAACTCTCGAACTCAAAGAGCTGCGAGCCTCAATGGCTCGGACAGTAGCTGAAATACGCGCCATGAAGTCTCAAGTGCACAACGCAACGAGTGCTGCGCCCAAGATCGACCGGATGCTTGAAGAAACTTAGAGAACTCCATTCACGGCAAGAATCACGGAGGCAAGGATTCCCGAGCCCGGGAAAGTGAGAATCCCGTTCTACGAAGGAACAACCGATCCGAAAGCACACATCACAGCGTTTCGGATAGCAATGGGACGAGCCTTCACAAAGAACGCTGCCAAACTGACCGAGCGGGAAGTAGATGCGGGATACTGCCTGCTCTTCATGGAGCATCTTAAGGGAGCCGCACTCGAGTGGTTTTCAAGGCAGGAATGCAACTCAATCGGCAGCTTTCAACAGCTCTCTGCCTTGTTCCTTAAACAATACTCGATGTTTATGGATAGAGGAACGTCTGATGCCGACCTGTGGACACTATCCCAAGGACCGAACGAACCACTTCGAGATTACATGGCAAGATTCAAGGCAGTCGTATCCAAAATAGAAGGGATAAGCGACAAGGCTGCGCTCGAAGATCTGAAACGATCTTTGTGGTACAAATCCGAGTTCCGACGGGAGATGGCACTCAACACGCCACAAACAATTCAAGATGCTCTGGACCGGTCATCAGACTTCGTCGTAAAAGAGGAGGAGATGAAGAATTTGGACGAGCAGTACGAAGCAACGAAAGCAGCAATCCGAAGCTCAATTTTGACGCGCCCCTCGAAGAAAGGCAACCCATCGAACAACACAACAACATAGAGCTCGGACAAACCTAGAAGCGGAGGTGCCCATAACTACCAGGTAGGCACCGGACGCAGAAGAGGAGAGCCGCGCAACAATACTTGGGTAAGAAAGTCCGCCAACTACGACGAGAAGGCTTTCTGCGAGTATCACCAGACCTACGGGCATTCAACGGCACAATGCCGAACGTTAGGAGCAAAACTCGCGGCTAAGATGGCAGCAGGAGAGCTCCAAAACGCGGTCAACCTCAAAGACCTCGTCCCTAATGAACCACAAGAAAGAGCCGAGCCGAGCGGCGCGGCTGAACCCGCAAATCCTCCCCGACGAGGCGATAACTCCAAGCGCGATAGGAGAGGCGAACCTGAAGAGCAACCCGAGCCGAGGCAAAGGATCAATATGATCATGGGTGGATCTCAATCCTACCAAGATACCGTGTCCTCCATCAAAGCCTATCAGCGCCGAGCCGAAGCGAAGGAGAATTGGACAGAACCAACCGACATCCCAAATACAGTGATCTCCATCGCCGAGGAGGAAACGGCAGGAATCGATAGACCCCACAACGATCCGTCGGTGATTGAGTTAACAATCAGGGATCATGACATAGCGAGGGAGCTCATCGATACTGGAAGCTCGGTGAACGTCATCTTCAGGGAGACAATCAAAAGAATGGGAATCGACCTCTCCGAGGTGGAAGCAATCCCCAAACCTCTAACCGGATTTTCAGGAGAAACGACGATGACTATGGGAACGATCAGGCTCCCTGTGGTAGCTGGCAGAGTCACTAAGATCGTCGAATTCTGCGTCACCGATCATCCAGCAATCTACAATGTGATTATAGGAACTCCATGGATCAACAGAATGAGGGCGGTCCCCTCCACCTATCATCTCTGTCTCAAGTTCCCGATTCCAGCGGGTGTCAAAACGATCTGGGGGAATCAGAAGGAGTCACGAATGTGCTGCCTAGCAGAGCACAAGCTGAGTAACCCCGTCACCGACGCACAAGCAGACATAGATCGCAAAAAGATGAAGACAGACCGAGAGCCTGCGAACGAGCTCTCGAAACTCTTATAGCAATTACAGATCGCGGAGAGCCGCGAAACACGCGCCGAGCCGGTATGTGATGCGGTGGACTCGGTGTGCATAGACGAGGTGCGTCCGGAGCGATGCGTCGAAATTGGAGCAAAACTAGAAGAGCCTGTGAGAAGCAAACTCCTTTCCCTCCTCAAGGAGAACATCAACAATTTTGCCTAGACAGCGGAAGATATGCCAGGCATAAGCATCGACGTGACCTGTCACGAGCTGAACGTGGACCCAACCTTTAAACCAATCAAGCAGAAAAGAAGAAAGCTCGGCCCCGAACGAGCTAAAGCAGTTAACGATGAAGTCGAGAGATTACTCAAAGTAGGATCAATCGCCGATGCCAAATATCCGGACTGGCTCGCGAATCCGGTGGTCGTGAAGAAGAAAAACGGCAAGTGGCGGGTCTGTGTGGATTTCACTGACCTCAACAAGGCGTGCCCTAAAGACAGTTTTCCCTTGCCACACATCGACCGGCTCGTCGAAGCCACTGCATGAAATAGACAGTTAACATTTATGGACGCGTTCTCTGACTATAATCAGATCCTGATGCATCCTGATGATCGGGAAAAACGGCATTCATAACTGATCGCGGGATATACTGCTACAAAGGTTAGATGGGCCGAGCTGTGAGAAGAACGGTGAGCGGGCGGGCCTAGTAGGGCGAGAGGAGGCATGGCCCGAATCGCTTCCCTGTGTGTTGGGCCGAGCCGGTTTTCCAAGATGGACCGAACCAAGGCTTTAGAAGATGAAAGCCCACAGAAGCCCTAGGCGAAGTATTATGACGGTGGCCGCATGAAGCGATAAGGAAATAGACCTAAAATCCCTCCTGAGATTCTCGGGAGAGGCGGTTTAAGGAGTTAGTATAAATAGGAGATTTCTACGATTCATTATGTAACTTTGACAACCCTAAGCAATAAGACCTAAAAACTTTCACAGCAATAAAAATCCTCTTTTGATCTTACTGTTCTTGCGATTACCCTAGAAGTTTCGGATCCCTTAGTTTTTCCCTTACAAAGTTTTGGTTGTGCGAGTTTTGGCTCACACAAAAACTCGACAATGCACTTTGGGCCTATCGGACAGCATACAAAACTCCTTTAGGGACCACGCCGTTCAATCTTGTTTATGGAAAAGCATGTCACCTCCCTGTAGAGCTGGAGTATAAAGCACAGTGGACTATTAAGGAGATGAACATGGACTTTAAGGCAGCTAGAGAAAGAAGAATGCTTCAAATGCACGAATTAGAAGAAATCCGCTACGAAAACACCAAGATATACAAGGTGAAGACGAAGGCATATCACGATAGAAGGATCATACATCGATCCTTTGCTCCAAATGACAGAGTTCTTCTTTTCAATCTCGCATTAAGCTATTTCCAGGAAAGCTACGATCTAGATGGTCTGGACCTTTCACAGTAAAGGAAGTCAAACCGTATGGAGCACTCATTCTTTGGGGTAAGAAAGGAGACACATTTGTCGTTAACTGACAGCGTGTAAAACCATACCTCGCAGAAGAAGAAGGAAGAGAAGCAATGCTCTTGGCAGACCCACCAGGCTAGAGCATCATCAAAGTCAAGCTACTGACTTTAAGCAAGCGCTTAGTAGGAGGCAACCCACTTGGTATTTTACTTATTCCCTTTGATTTGCCTTTTTCTATTTTTGCTGCTTTGTTTTTGTTTTCTATAATTTTAGATTTTTAAGCGAAGAACGAATAAGAGGTGAACAGAAATCACAAACCAGAACGCACATCACCAGGTAAGTACACCTAAACATTCCAAATTTCAGTCCATAATTATCCCATCCTCTCAAAGATTTCTCACACTGGGGGCAGTGTGATTTAAGTCTGGGGGAGGATGTTCATCCTTTACTAATGAAATTTGGTTTGTCTTGAGTTTGTATTTCATAAAAAGTTTTCAAAACGGTTTTCAAAACAGGAATGCCGGAACAAAATCATATGCTTCTAGATTTTACATGTTAGTTCTTTGTGGTTAGTACTAGACTAGGTGGTAGCTAGAGTACTTGCACTACGAACTCCCACCAGAGGATTTCTATTCACGGAGGTCTTTTCTGCAAGAATACACTAGCTCATTTCACTTGAACATAATCTAGACATCTAATTTTCTCATCATTGGTTTTAGCAGGCATCATGATACACATCTAGGACATCTTTACATCATTATTACCACTCTTTGTTGTCCTAGATGGCCAGTTCATCTTTAGCTGGTACCACACCCTTAACCCAAACCTTTATGTTTAAACCTAATGCATTCTCTCTTTAGTTTATATTGACAGATATGTGCAAAAACGCCGGAGAGGGAGGAACAACATAGTTTTCAGTCACTCAAGAGAAAGACTGAAAGAGGCCAGAAGGGAGTGTGCCAGAAATCGTATAATGCCTCAGAAAAGCTCATTCTTAAAGGTAAATTTTGTGCTCCCTAAGACTCCAAATCAAAAGGCCGTTTCCTCTTTCAAAAAAAAAAACGAAAAAAGAGAAAAAGAAAGAAATGAAAGGAAAATAAAAGCCTAAAAGAGTCTTAGAAGTCGAAATCGCTTGAGCTCAGGCAATAGTATTCATTTAAGGAGTTATGGATTCACAACCTGGACAAGAATATAAGTCTGGGGGAACCATAAGGAGAACCTGAAGAAAGGAGATCAGAATTCTTGAAGCAAAGAGAATGTGATTGAAACTGTGGAGGCATTTGCAGTTCCATCCTCTCTTGCTGTTTTGCATAATGTCATGTCTCTCCAGAAAAAGGTAGCCCTAAACACATCAAGTCTTACCACTAAAAAGCCATTTTGAATACCTAGCCTTGATTGCTTTACTAAAGTCCTTTGATGAGAACCATTTGAACTTCTAAATGAATGTTAAGAGCTAGTTGACTGGAGGATATGTTTAAGTGTGTAGATTTTCGCATGACAAATCAACGAACTAGTTATGCTTGTGCTTTGGTGAAAATTTTCTAGACTATACCCGATTTGAGCATAATGACTAAACTCTGGTTTGGAAGCATTGTCTCTGAGATTTTGTTAGTTCCTGCGATTTTCAAATCTCTTTTCTAGGTTCAGATCTTTGGTTTTGTTTGAGGACAAACAAAGGTTTAAGTCTGGGGAGTTGATAACACCTGATTTTGACCACTTTTATGGATCACTTTTAATATCTTATGCAGGTGTTTTCACTCAGTTTTAAAGGTTTTTAAGTGATTTCAATGTTTTAGAATCTCAAAAGAGTTTTCAGGATATTTTGACAAAAGGAATGCACTTGGGAGCAAAAAACATAACTTTGGATAAATTCAGACCGTCGGAAGTTTGGTAGCAAACGGAAGTCTTCCCACCGTCTGATTGTCCCTAAATTTTGACACAAGATAGAGGAGACAACCAGCTTTCCAATACAAGTGGAATAAAAGCAATCTAACGGTTAGATCTCTAGATATGGTCGATACACTGAAGGTGAATCATCACAGTCAGAAGCTCATCCGCGGCCAAAACGTCATCCGCCGGGGGTGCGAAATTTTAGACCGCGGGGAGCTCAATTCCGAGCCTCAGAAGCCCATATCAAAGCCCAAGTCACCCCCGTCATTATTCCTGCAAGCCCTAGGCGTTCCCGAAGACTCAAGACACTATATAAACCCCTTTTAAGTCGTTTAGAAGGTGTGCCACATCTTTCACCAGGAACCCTAGAAGAGAAGCTCTTCCGGAAGAGGAGCCACCGAGAGGGGCACCATTGGCCCTCCTTATTCAACCTGTTCTTCGTTTCTAAACTCTGTCTATTTCAATTCTCTGTAATTCTAAATACTCTTGTGATGTTGAATTCAACTATGTCTGAGTAATTTCCCAGTTGGGTATTCAAGGGATTTTTCAAAGGGAATTTCATGTCTTGATTATATGCTTCATTCGATTTAGGGTTATTGATCTTCTAGGATCCTTCGTTCATTCTTATTCACTATGTTGTTTCTGTTGTTAGCCGCTTAGAAATTGATTCCAGTAATTGGAGTCACGAGAGTGCTGTATCAAATTACTAGAACTAGAAGTGATCGAGCGAATTCGCTACATGAGACGAAAGCTACCTGTAGAGAATCGTGAGCGTGGATGAATTCTGCTTATAATGCATGATCTTATTCGCAGCATGAGAGCGAGAGTTAATTTCTGTGTTGAGTGATTAGATGATTAGGGTGACGAGAGTTGGCTAATCTTATATGTGTCTATTCTAACTCAGGATCCTCACTAGATGATTACCTTTATCGATTTGTATGTCTTTTGATCAGTTCATGAACCCCTGCGAAAACCCTTTGAACCCAGCTCCTGTTTCTTATTGTTTTACAACTTGTTTATTTCGATTACTTTTAGATTTAGTGACACCAAAACCAAAAACCCCCCATTTTGCTTGTTCTATTAGTCTTAAGTTTTGATTGATTCGCACTGAAAGCTCAAAATCTTTGTGGTTCGACCCCTAAGTATTACAGCGTACATCTGTGCACTTGCAGATATTTAGGGTTATAAATTTAAAACGTGAAGTTAGAAGTAACCCTTGATTCTCTTAGCATCAGCAGTACAATCACTCTCAACTCGACCAGTAACTTTTGTCCCTGGCCGCGAGAGAGATCATGCATTATAACACAAGTTTCATCTATGCTCATGATACTCTATAGGTAGCTTTCATCTTCTATAGCGATTTCGTTCTTCTGAAGCTATGTCTAGTCAACAAATACACCACTGTCGTGGGTTTATCTTCCTAAAATCAGTTGCTAGTTTATGACTCTAACTCCATGCAGTATAAATAAACTTAGAAGAGAAGAGATCTAGAAATTGTCTATGTAAACAAAGGCGGAGCAGATTCTTTTAATAGCGGTTGCTAGTCAAAATCAAGCGATCCTAATTGAACATGAATTCCCGTTCGATGGATCTCTTAAACCCAACTACTTAGACATAATTAAAGAAATCAAAAACATGATAGATGAATGCATAATCGATTTAGGAAGAAAGAAATAAGAGGGTTCA